AAGAGCTCAGTAGGCTTAGACTTCCGCACGACCCAGTTTGGGTCGAAGGTCTCGACCCAGAACCCAACCCAGTCTGGGTCTGGGTCGAAACCTTATAACCCAGGCCCAACCCAGACCCAGTGACTGGGGCCCCAGAAAACCCAGTATAGCCCCAGTTCGACCCAGTTTCTGTATAAATTATGGTATAAATATTTAAATAATATACTGTTATTTTCCCCTGTTATGGTTTCTACATCGAAATGCTACACTCTCTACCAATAAGGGAAAGGAAATTTTAAGAAATTACCTCGTTCTTCAAAGCAATATATCTGGTTTAAGATTAATTACTTCTTTAAATACTTTATTTCATATAGAAAGGTGGTATATATTGGCTGCTGGTTTTCTCAAGCGTACGATAGTATTCTATTTAAAATACAAAGTATACCCTAAGTTGTAGATATATATATTCAATATATATCAATATAATATATATTTTTATCTATAGAGTAAAATAATTTTTGAATTCATTTATTTCTCTTCTTCTATTTAATTTTAGAGCTTATATAACTATAGATAGATATCTAGTAAACCTTTATATTTAAAACTACTTACTACCTCTTAATCTACTTGGTATATACGACTTAAAGGGAGGGTAGGAAGAAATATTTTGAGAAGGATTAATAGAACTAGGGTGGGAATTAGGGTTTGACTAGGGTTTTACTGGGTTTACTGGGTTTACTGGGTTCTTACCGGGTTAAATAGGTTCTTACTGGGTTCTTACTGGGTTAAATAGGTTATAACTGGGTCTTAACTGGGTTATCTCAGGGGTATTTCTTTAGACCTATATAATTTTAGTATAATAGACCAATCAACAAGAGTAGGATGATTTACTATATTTGATATATTAATATTCCTAGACACTTCTACAACTTTAGTATATTTCTTCCTTTGTACGTTAAAGAATTTCTCCCCTTATATCCCTTTGTATATATTATATATCATTCTTATATTATGTCTCAAAGCCAACTTTCCGACTTTGTATCGTCGCTCTATAGTGGTGATCTTGACGATCTCTTATATATTTCAACTGGACAAGTCACACTATCCGCAAGTTAACACACAATCGACTTAAACTTCCGAAGACCAGATAATCCCCTCCTAATCCCCCCTTTATTGAAACGCGTTGGACCCAACCGTAGGAAAGGGTTTATTCTATACGATACAATATTATATAACGATTTTGTAGACTAGTGGTTAGAGACTGACTACGGGAGGAAAAGTAAGCTTAAATAGGATTCGAACCGCTATACAGAGATCTAGAATAGCTACTATTAGGTAGCTCAGGGTATTAATAGCGCACCAAAGGTTATATATAAGCGCTGTAGGAAGATCCTAGAGTATCCTTATACACTAAGCCCGAACAGTACAGGTAAAGCGCAGTATTATAGTATATCAACTATCTAGAAACATCGGAAAACGGCTAGTTATTTACGGTCGGAAAAGGGGAAGAAAGCAGAGATTACAAACTTCCTACAAAGAGAGGTATATTTTATATTATAAAACTAAGTAACTATACTAATTTATTATTATTCTAGGGAGAGGTTTCAGCAAGTATACCCTTCTTATAAGAAGATTGGGAGGAGGATCTCCTCCAATTTCTTACTCTTAACCGGCTCCTATTCTATCTGATCGAGTATCTATCATTTAAACGTATTATCAATAAAGCTCGTTCCGCCCTATCCCCTCCAGTGATCCTATCTACCGATACTATCCGTCGCCGATTGGGTAGTCTAGTCAAAGACCGGTAGCAGCGTATCCTTCGTACGCTGCCTTCTGGCTCAAAGATATCTATTGCGCTTGACTGCTAGATATCTCTATTCTCGCAGGTATTTATAGCTATTACTGGCTATTTTATTAACAGTGATTGGGTATATTGTGAGGTACTACTTGGGTTTAAGCCGCTTTATAGTATATATACCGGCTCTTACCTAAGTAGTGTTCTTATAGAAACCCTAGTGGAGTACAATATTGAAGATAAAGTATTCGGGTTAATAACAGATAATATATCAAACAATAAGATATTAGCTACTGCTCTCCAATAGGCTTTATCAGATAATACTATTATCACCCGAATACTATATCTTACCTACGTTATCCAGCTCAGCCTAAATCAGCTTCTTACTCGGATCAAGGTAGTTCTATTAAATAAATCAGCCGAGATAAGGTAGACAGAGAAGCAGTTAAGGCTAGCCTAAGAAAATACGAAGCAAAGTCAGATCTCCTCCACACTGAACAAAGTCCGTTATCTTACGATTTACGTCAATATAAGTCCCCAGCGCAGAGAGACCTTTTACAATCTTTAGACAACTAATATCAAGATCGTTCCAATCTAAGATATAAAGACACGATGGAATTCTATATTCCTTATGCTTCGCCGGGCAAAGAGGCTACGTGCTATCTTCTCTTTATTCTGTACAGAGTATAATTGTAAGGAGATACTACTCAGCGAGTAAGAGTGGCGTTAGATCGACTATCTTCTTTGTATCACCGAGCCCTTCTTTGATTATACAACACAGCTATCAAAGACTCGAGATATCACTGCCCACTATATATTCAAGATCTACAACAAACTATTCGATTATCTTAAGCGATTATAGGTACAGCTACGCCGAAAGCGTGTCCTATAGAAGAAACAGATACTAGAGGCCCTTAAAGCTGGTCGGTCTAAGCTTAATGAGTATTACTCCTAAGCTGATGATCTTCGAGGGAATATCTATACAATCAGTGCAATACTTATACCGGTGAACAAATTCAAATTCTTCCTCTCCAGTGATTGGGATCAGAAATAGCGAGATACCTATCGACTTGCTTTTGAATAAGCCCTTATTCTATATCAAGTATAAGTTAGAATAAGCAGTTGTGATCTACAAAGCTATCTAACGATAGCCTATCTAAGCTCAAGGCTAGAGGAGATACTTAATAGAAGGGATATACAACTACGAGCTATTACTGATAAAATCAGTCAATATCTTGATAGCGGTAAGTAAATACAAAGAGTATATACAATAATAATACTAATATATATATAGATACTGTTTCTGTTAGGCCGCTTACTTTCTGGAAAGAGCACCAGGCTCGCTTTCCGGCTATTGCTGCCCTTGCGCGAGATACACTCTTATTTCCAGCAACTGGCGCAGGAGTTAAACGCCTCTTTAATACCGCTCGAGATATTTGTTACTATCGTTGTGGTAGAATAAAGAGTAAGACTGTCGAGGTATTAATAATATTTCTTTGTACAACGAAATTTGATATAGAGGAGCAGGAAGCAACACTTCTTAAGAAATTCTTCTCCTAGGATAAGCTTAAGGCGGCAAAAGAGGAGAGGGAAGAGAAGCTTAGTGAGATTGAGGTTGATCCAATTAGTGATACAGAGGAGTAGGAGGATAAACCGGAAGATAAACCAGGGGATACAATTGAGGTTGTAATTGAGGATAGACCAGAGGATGTACCGGAGGAGAGGCCCTTACCTACAAGTGAATATAGTCGTCCTTGCTCGCCATTATTACCACCAACCTGTACACAGACACGAGTATCAGGGAGAAAACGTAAAAGCAGGGAAGATGATTTATTTAAATACCATTAGCTTGCTTGACAAAGAATCCTCAATTATACGTATCTCTTTTACCCTTTTTACAAATAAAATTAGATATAATCAAGTAAAGCAAATACTCAAAATTACCGCGAATAAATGCATAAGTTATACATTTAGAATCCTTAGTATGTTTGTTTAGTTTGTAACCCAGTTTGGGGCCCCAGACCCAGTACTGGGTCACCCAGTCCGACCCAGACCCAGTACTGGGTCGAAGGGTTCGACCCAAAACCCAACCCAGACTGGGTTGGGTCTGGGTTGGGTCTGGGTTTTACTGGGTCGTGCGGAAGACTAAGTAGGCTATATATACTAAGTATACAGTGGTCTAGTAGACTAGAAAGCCACTAAGCAACCCACCGTAACAATATCTACCACTGAAGCGGAATTACTTAGCCTTTTAGAAGTAGGAAAGTAACTCCAATAGTGGTATCGACTGTTAAAAAGCCTCGGCTTTAAACCTTCCTACAGCTTAACAATTAAATGTAACAATAAGAGAACGATTAGCTTACTCACCAGCGAGGACACTACCTTTGAAACGAAGCTTCGATATATAGATATTCACCGCTACTGGCTAAGGTAAGAAGTGAAGGAACAGCGTATCAAAGTACACTGGGTGGTAACAGTAAGTATAGTTACCGATAGACTCACTAAGCTGCTATCTCGGTAGAAGTATAAGAGCTTTCTCAGGATGCTTCGAATGGTCGATATAGGCTATCTTATAGCCTAAGAAGCAGATAATTGGGGCCAGTAAGCACCTACGGAGCTAGCTGAGGGGGTGTGTCGGTGTATAAAGCCCGGTATACCGGAGGATTTATTAATCCTTTATATTTTGTAATTAATATTATGTAATCGAGGCTTTATATAAATTGTACCCGGAAGCCGATACAGAAATACAGAGAGTTGAAACCCATTTCATTGGACCCCCCTATTTTACAATACCACTTGCTCCAACATTTATTGCACTCGTGCCTCGGGGCTCAGACCTCATATAGCTGAATATACCAGTTTCTGACTACATATTTGTTCCGATCATTACCAAAGAGGATTCCCATCATTACCAAAGAGGTAGCACTCCGGCAGAGGTGATAGCGTAGCATGTCACTTATATTCCTGTTGCGCATACACAACGTAGCCAGTGTAACTGGCTTTTGCACAAACACGAGGACAAAAAAGTACAACCCTCTCGGCAAAAGTTACAGCTGTTGGCAACGATAAGATAACCCCGCACCTTCAGATGACCAGCAGATCAGCTAAGAGAACTCGAAGAGCGTGACTTGGTGGCGACTTTTATTTCTTTCTCCTTCTTAAACAACGACGTTTACGTGAAAACTATGCCAACTTTGTTTGACCCTCCGAACTCTCCATTGACACCATGTCTTACTTCTTGAGTTTGCCAGTTATCACATCTTTGCTGAGTATTTTGATCAGCTCTCTAGTTCTTTACTACCTCCACATCAAGATCTCAGAGCGAGTTCTAAACAATTTCCAGGCCAGCGAGGCATGGATCCCAGAGAATGAGTTGGTCCTACTGACCGGTGGCAGCGGCTCTATTGGCAGACAAATAATGGAAGAGCTTTCTGGTAAGGAAGTACGCGTTGTGATCCTTGATATCAGTCAGCCTACGTTTGAGCTTCCAGAAAACGTCACATTTTATCAAACAGATATAACATCGGCCAAGTCTCTTTCCGAAACTGGCGCTTCTATTAGGAAGCTGCACGGAGAGCCGACTGTTATTGTGAACAATGCTGCTGTTTTCAACCATCACACCATTCTCGAAATTCCAGAGAAGGAACTACGTCAGACATTCGATGTCAACATCATCTCTCATTTCCTAGTCCTGAAGGAATTCCTTCCGTTTATGGTCCGCATGAATCGTGGCCATGTCGTTACAGTGGCGAGCATTGCTAGCTTTGTTACTATAGGCGAGATGGTGGACTATGCTTGTTCTAAGGCTAGCGCTCTTGCTTTCCACGAAGGCCTTAGTCAAGAGCTGAGATATTGGTATAAGGCTCCAAATGTGCGGACGAGGTTAGAATGAGAAACCTTTTCTTTAAGCAGAATTCATACTAAGAATACCTAGTTCGATTCACCCCCTTTGGGTTCGGACTCCCATGATCGAAGGTTTCACTAAATATGAAGCTGATTTCCGCCAATCACTCCTGGGTCCGAAGGAAGTCTCCCAGGCAGTGGTGGAACATATTGTTACTCGGAAAAGTGGACAAACCATCCTGCCTAGGCATGCCTCGGTGTTTGGCTCGCTCAAGGCCTTGCCACTATGGTTGCAAGAGGCAATTCGATCATACTTTTCGAGTATAGTCTGGAGAGTGCGGATCAAGCGGGTTGCTGATAAGAATCCTGGCTTGCGTGCTCCTTGACTTGATTTGGATCTTAGCTCGAGGTTGTAGCCGATGAAACGTCGAAACAAAGCTTCAATGCGAAGCTTCAATGTTGTCTCCATTGAAGAGGATCAGGAATGAAAGAATGAATTATGGGGTATATGATACCGTGTCTCTAATACTAAGTCCGAGCATTAGATCCATTGTACAGACAGAGTCTTTCTGAAAATTTAGTCTTATCGTATGTTCCTCTATTGATCTTGCCCAGGGAACGAAGTTCGCTGGCAAAAATGGAAGTGAACTGGTCAGTTAGATACGTGGATGACTGGATTCGCCTGTTTGCTGTATCTTTTATTCACTACCAATCAACACCCAATGTCAGGTAGGATGGCAATATTACTACGCTGCAATGTTCAAGGAGTGGGTTCCCACTTCTCACTTCTCGCTCTTCTCGCGCTTCCCCCTATTTCTCTGGTTCTCTTCTCTCTCTAATTTCTACACGAGAGCCTGTAGATTGTTAATTTCTGCTAGAAATTTCAAATCCGAAAATCGGGGCGCTGTCTAAACAATTCCAAAAGAGGCAAAAACAATCTCCTTCCCTCAAACCCAACACCCGCGTTCATCTCCTCCTCGCCACACACCCGCAACTCATCCCACGAGATCCAGTCCCACGCCTCACACTTCTCCGGCTCAAGGATCTATGAGAGTAAGTCAGCTGCATATCATTTTGTTTCTGCAAGGTATGAAGCCCGATATGGGAATATGCAATGAAAGGTGGCACGAAAAAAAAAAGTTCAAATAAAAACGCAAAATATATAAAAAGCAAACATCAAATGTCGATCAACTTACCTGAGGATCAATGCCCTCCTCACAGACACCACCCATAAAAATGGTGACGTAATGCTTATTCTCTGCCTTCATGATTGAATTCGTGGCATTCAGGAATCTCACATCCTGCATCTTCAGACCTGTTTCTTCAAATGTCTCACGGGCTGCGCAGGTCTCGAAGGATTCACCGAACTCGAGGTGTCCACCTGGTAATCCCCATGTGCCTTGAGTTACAAATGGTAAGCTTTTGCTTATAATGAATTATCATTGCCTGCCTGTTGCATGCGCAGGCGGTTTATGGTGTATTGGATGCACGATTGCATGCACGTACCAGCGCCAAGGCTTCCTTTTCGCTTGCCAATGACGAATTTGCCCATAGCATTGAAAACAAAGACGCCAATTCCAACTTTTGGGTCCATTTTATAATTTATGGGGGAATATTTTGGAGAGAAGAAGTTGTATGAAGTGGGATTCCCTGCACTTATCGGGAAGTGGGGAAATTATCTTTCGATTAGGGGCAAATCAAAAACAATATCCTGTACTCCATATTTCTTGTAGATTATATGATCGTATAGTATTTGATAGTCATATACTCCGAATATCGTAAATGCCTCAAGGATACAGCGTTGACCTCTTACCGTGAACACAAAGTGCTAAAGTGCAACAGTCATATCCTGAAACGAACCTGATCTGCTTCACATACATCTACATACTACTTATTCCCTGCGCTTGAATATGCAGGAGCTCAGGGGATCAAACGAAAACAATATGTTCAATCCAGAGATATAGCAAGCGATCTCCAACTTATGCCTGTTCGTGCACAACCAATATCGAAGAGAATCCTTTCACGCTACAGCTTATCACAGCCTCCCTGGGAAATCCATGATATTTCAGAACTGGTGTTAAATCTGAGAGCGATCTTCAACGATTTTCATGAAAGGAATCATGATCTTCATATATATCCCGCTTCCATCATACTGCGATGTGATCTATTTAAATTCGTGGACCTCCTTGCTCTCTATCTCTCTTTCTCTCTCTCCACGCGTCCATATTTATATCCTATCCTACACACTTCGGCATACATATCTTTCACATCAAAAAAACTACCAGCCCTCAATTGACATCATTCTTCCCACAATTCAAAAACTATCAGCAACCAAAAATGCACTTCAACATCCTCCTGACCTTGTCAACCTTGACAGCTCTGAGTAGCAACGCCGCAGCCTAACTCCCCCTCGGCGGCTTCAATGGCCTCAATGGCTTCGGTGGACTAGCAGGCTCATCCAGCCAAACCTCAGGCTCATTCAGCACACCCATCCCCACTATGTTGAAGAAGCCAATCACGCCACTTGCATTCCCCTCTCAGGCATCTAGTTTGTCCATCCCAGTGCCGAACGCTAGCGCTAGCTCTGGATTAAAGGACAGATTGCCACTGGGTGGATTGTTGGGTGGAGCTTTTTAGATCCTTGATTTAGGGCTGAGGATTCCTTCGACTGGTATGAGAGGTTGGGAATATTGCTGTATATGGATCGTCAATTGAGTTGGCGGTGGCTTCAAGAGCGTGTCTTGAATCAAGAATGAAAGAAGGAAATTGGATTGCTTGTATCGTTGCATCCGTGCTTGTTTTGTTTCTGTTATGCTGTGACCTTTTCGAGTAGATCTGAAGGTGGAGGGGAAGGGAGAAGGGGGTTTTATACTCGCACGTGGGAAGGTCGCGCCTTCCAGAATAATTCCAATTACCTCATTTGGCTACCATTGCAAACAGACCAATCAGGGCTATTTAGACTAACTAAATGCCCACGGGTGATTGCTTGACTAGGATCCATATTCACTGCTGACTTGTCCACTCTCTCGCGTTATTCATCTATCAGATCACCCCCTATTGCAGAGTTCAAACTTCATCGTTTCTTCCTCTCACCATTGTACCTTATCCAGTCTCCTCCCCTGGTATTTTTGTCCGCCGTGAAATCTCAACGTCTACAACTAACATATATGTAGGTGATCGAGGGTTTAGGATTGGTCTTTCTCTCAGATAATCCGTATTCCAAGACATCATAACTATCAAACATGGCCTGGCGTCCAGAGCGCCCTGTGACACTTCCTAGTCACGATAGGCGCCCTATCGATTCATTTCCCCCAAGGGTTGGTACGGGACGCATCTTCCCCACGAAGTTCAATCCCCCAAATGCAAGTGATACACCGAGATCGCTTTTCCCACTCAGCAGAATTGATCGTGCCATTCCACCTTTAATACGGTTCATTCGTCGCAACGCTGGAAACAACCAATTCCTGGTCTTCACGGACGGCGCATGCTTGGACAACGGCGGTGCAAACCCAAGAGCCGGTTGTTGCTTGGTTTTCAGAAATTCTACGTCAAACCCCCCAGTCTGTGGCTATGCCAGCTTTCCTCTCGAAAAACAAGGCCCCACTGGCGTTGAGCACCCGCAAACAAGCAATCGGGCTGAGTTGCGTGCTGTCATTGCGGCTACACGATTTCGACACTGGACCGGCGAAGGCTGTCGCTGTCTAGTCATCGCTACTGATTCTGAATATGTAGTAGAAGGTATGACGAAATGGATAAAAGAATGGATACGAAACAACTGGAAAAATAATGGGGGGAGTCAGTCAAGAATAAGGATCTTTGGCAGTGTTTACTCGGAGAGGTGGAACGGTGGGATGAGAGGGGAATGCGGATTCAATTCTGGAGGATTCCAAGAGAGTGGAACACTGAGGCAGACCAGCACGCTAAAGTAGCTGCTAGTGAGGGTGCACCCCAGAGATTCGCAGACGTCATCGGTTTCCATGCTTGAGAGGATCAGAGCACAGAGTTGCTAGATCTACCAGACGGCGGGTTCAATACGAAACTCAGAAGTTGTTCATTCTATCTTTACGTGGGGGATTGGGCGTGGGGTAACCATATTTCAGATCCCTCTGGATTCCACAGTACTGTTGCATCAATAGCTTATGTCTTATCTTCATGTGAGCTTCTTAACTGAAGCCTTTTTATCGTGTTACCCACACCGGTCGAATAAGCATACAATATGACCCTAGGGGAATCCCAGAAAGGTTTACCTATTTTATATGTTAAGACTCCATTCGAACGATGTCAGTTGAGTGTTTTTTTCTGTTTACAATATTTCATATGAGAAGAAACGTGCAGTCGTTAAAGCATAATATCAAAAACCCATCCTTGCCCAAAACCAGCCTGCAAAACAAAGCCCCAAAAAGCCCCCCGAAAATAAATCATAAAAGTCAAAAAGAACTATTATACAAGACAAAACGAGCCACGCCAGTCACAGTTGAGGCATCCGTTGTCTTTGTTCAAATCATTAAAACAAATGCAATGCATCAAGAACTCGAATCGCCATTCCAAATCAGGTTGACATACTCTTATGACGAATGAGACTGAGACGGTCTTCGCGGGCTATTCAAAGCGCACTCGCCGGAATTTTCACTAGTGTTGCTTCCCCGATACCAGCCCTGGTCAATCAGTTGTGTTTCAAGATCTCGCCAGTATCCGGCTTTTCCGCCGGCGCCTGTCTTAAGATCGAGGTCGCCAAGACGGATTTCAACGGGTGACTTTTCGTCATGGGGGACCTATGGGGAAGGTTAGTATTCGAATATGGACGACATTTCCAAATAGACAGCATCTTGATCTTGACTAGAACACCAAACCCTGATTTCGCAGGATGGCTCACCTTGATAAACATAGTACAGTCCCGCAGTGTCATCGCAAGCGACATCTCCGGAGACTGCGTCACCGGACCTTGCAGCCCGACATCCCTTTCAGTCTTCTGCAGCGACTGCAGCCTCTGAAGTGTCGGGTTCCGATACAAAATCCGAGCCAGCCGCGATCGATCCTTGCAGCCCTTGATAAACGCCGTCGCCCGCAGCACATTCTCATACTGTTCCGACACCAGATCCAGCGGGCAGAACGACCGTTGCTCTTTCTGGCCTAGGAGTTTGGATTCGCGGTTCTTCATTTCCCTCAGCGCGCAGGTCCGGCACCTATGTGCTGTCGCTGGCGCTGATGGCGACTGATTGAGCCATTTGGGTTTTAACTCGGCTAGGCTGGCGCCGGGGTCTCCGGCCGTCGTCATGTCAGTGATGAGTAGACCAAATGGCTCATGAAGGCAGAGATAGCTGCCATGGCGCTTATTTGGACGTGCGCCGTTTAGTTCGGCGTTGCGTAGTTGCTCGTTGCAGCTGGAGAGGAGGCCCTCTGGGAGTTTGATGAGGGTTTGATTGACCAGTTCTTCGGGTTTGAATAATGGTCGGATGATAGTGTCAAAGTTTCGGGCAATCTCTTTGTAGGAGATGTCGGCTGCGGTCTCTTTGCGCAGTCGGAGCAATTTCCCCTTAAATTGGAATGGTAGGTTGCAATGATCCGAGTCGAGTACAGATGGGGATAGTGGCCTCTTCAGGTCTTTTTTGCCGAGTACTGGATTTCCGACAAATCGATAAATCACATTAGCTCCGCCCTCGGCGAGGTAGATGAGCTGAACTCCTCTTGGGAGTTCAAGGAAATTTGGTTTGGTCATCCGTTAGAGGGATGGGTGTTGGTCTGAAAATCCAAGTTATCTCTGTGATCATGACGTGGTTGATAGTCGACACCTTAGTGTATCTCCGCCACATATAAGAATGTGAATAGATTAGAAGGTCAAAAGGGTTGAAAATGTATGTGAAACAAGCCTCTTCAGCAAATCATGCATATGCATCCAGCGGTAAGAGCTTAAACCGATTCAGAGGGGGCTAAACCGAGTTAAGTTGGGATTATTGGGATATCCAATCAGTTCCAACGAAAAGTGAGATGCACGAAAATCAACTGGTACGTTTCGTATGAGTAGAGAACAAAGCTGGACTGAAAGGAAGAAGATTTCGAGAAAGAAAAGAAACAAAAACGGAAATTCCGGACAAAGAAACCCGACATTCACTAGAAAAGCCTCGGGGAATAAAAAAAAATAAAGCAGGGGTTTAGTTGTGGGGACTCTCAATAAGAGTGAGTGGCGTAAACCCCCCTGGAGTCGATCATACCAAAGTATTCAAGGAGTCTACTAATAGTCAAAAAAAAAACTCCATCTACGCTGTAGATGAAATTTAGAGAGAGTAAAAGGATAAAAGCGAAGTTGAAGCATTTATTGGGGGTAATGGCGGTCAGCAAATATGCCTCGAACTGTAGAGATGCAGCGAGTGACCCTCTGCAGATGTGAGATAATAAAGAGGCTCGAGGGCTAAATGTAGGTGTTAAAACGTGTCTGTAACTAGTAAATATGTAGACTTGTAAATAGTAAATAGTAAATAGTATAAATAGAATATATGTAAAATGTCATACAATCGTAAATGTTAGGGGGAATTTTCAGCCTTGCGGATATATATGGGTAAATGTGTCACACTGACCACATCCTCATCTCATACTCATATTCACCCTATTTACTCCCTATATTCCCCTCTACACCATTTCATATTATCAACCAACATGGCTTCCATCCAAACTCCCGCCCACTGCGTCGCTGATTTCTGTCTGGTCCCTGTAAGCCTAAAACCTTTCCCGCTCCTATTCACTAACTAATAGCACCCCAGGTCGGCACCTCTTCACCTTCAGTCTCAGACCAAGTCGCTGATGTCCAGCGGCTGATTGAAACATGCGGTTTGAAGTATGTCATGCATTCCGCAGGCACAACTCTCGGTACGTATGAGATACATGTCTCCGAGGCTATATTACAACTACACTTGTATATCTTAGTATTATAGTATTCCCTCAGCCCCATCCGCAGTTCCGAACTTGTTCTCATCTCTAACTGTGCCCTGTATCTGTCTCTGCGGCTGAAAGTCAAATCATCAGGAGAGAGAGCTGAGAGCTGGGAGGGCTGTGTAATACGATTGCTATATTTACTGACTATTTTTGGTTTTTGTAGAAGGATCTTGGGACCGAGTTCATCAGGTCATCGGACAGGCGCATACGATTCTTCATCAAAAGGGAATTGTTCGCATTCATACTGACATTCGTGTTGGGTCGAGGTGAGTTTGTTTTTTGTTTTTTTTTGTTTTTCTCTTTTTACTCCTTGCCCATCTTATTTGTCCATTTCTCATTGCTAACCGTCTCTATTAGAACCGATAAGGTGCAGTCATTTGAGGATAAGGTAAACAAGGTGAACCAGATCTTGGGAAAAGATTAGAGTAGAAGTTGAATTACAACACAAGGCAATTGACTTTTGAATCATTTCATTCGTAAAAGCTATACCCGGGTAAAAGCCATCCCAATTTCAACCAGTACCTTGCCCTTGAAAATGCAAACAATATCTATGCACCGTCCAGCCAGGGCCAGCCCCATACCACAGGACCCAAAAAGATATCCAAGAAATAAACGTATAAACGCTCCAAATATATATTAAAAAAAGATCAGAGAAACCGAGGCCACTCAGAAGGAAATCCCCCCACCAAGAAGATTCCCCCAGTTTCCACCAGTCCAAATCCAGTTTCCCATAGACACCGGCGTACCCGATCTAGCCGATTCCGCCAACTCAACCAGCGCCTTGAACACATTGCTCGTCGACGAGGCATCGCTAGTCGAATCCGCAGAAGTTGAGACGGACTTGCGGCCAACCGCATTGGTAACATTATTCAAGTTATCGACGGTATCAATCGCCGGACCGCGATTGAAGAAGTCCACCATGATATAGGTCGGCTGCCGCCCATTCCACTCCTTCTTGCAGTTTACCGCCGCAGTACCCAGGTTGCCAGTTCCGCCAGACGCGGCATTCGTCGTCCCCACGTAGCTGGCATTTGGGTACTCGACATCCAGGATCGCAAGGTTGCTCGAGTACAGGAAGTGGTTCATCAGTGGGAGGAGGTTGGCTGCAAGCGCAGACGCGCTGTTGTCTTTGTATGCCGATGGTCGGTCCGGATCACATGTGAAGTTCGACGCGGAGCTTGTGTCGTATTTATTCTCCCAGATGTAGCTCCATTCGTTCATTAGGTAGGGGTAGCTGGCACTGGTGTCTAAGGAGGCCACAAAGACGACTAGTCGCTTGCCGTCGTCGATCATGGTTTGTAGGGTTGGCCATGTAGTTGGGGCGGTGCCGGGGGAGGTTGGCTCGTATGCGTAGTCGGTGATGTTGGCGGTTGTGAATTCGGTGTTGAGATCGGAGGCTGTGGCGTCGTCGGAGTTGACTAGGAGGATCGTGACCACTATTTTAGAGAAGGACTATTAGTTTTCTTACCATAAATCCTTGCGGAACTAACTCACCCTCGTTTGGATTGTCATCCAGCCACGTCTTGATCTTCTTCAGCCAGTCGCTCAGCAACCCGGCATCGAGCAGGTCGCAGGTGGAATGACATAGACGCCATTGTGAGTTGCTCTTGTGGACTTGGGCTGTTACTAATCGAACACCGGCTGATAGTTGTGTTGGGGTGTCATAGTACCTGGAGAATGGGAGTTAGTCTGCCATGTGATTTATTGGAATTTGGAGCTGTGGGGGTAAACATACTGGTTGGCAGCTATCGAGTTGCCAGTGGTATCGTCACGCACGAAGGGACTGTCATGAGCGCCGAGATGTGTAATTTCTCCATAGGACTTGGAGCAGAGATCAGGAGAGTTATTGCATGCTGTCGTACGCTTCTGAATCAAAGGGTTCGCAAGAACCATGGGCAGCAAGCCTAGGAAGTTGAATACGCGCATAACTGTACACAAATGATGTATGAGATGTACTAATATATTCTCTACTTTGCAAGGAAAAAGATCAAATATAAATAAGAAAAAAAAAGAAAAAGAAAAGGAGATAGAAATAACAGAATGTTTACTCCGTACAAGGCCGCGTTGCCGTCTCAACTATTCTTAGATCGGTGGATCGTCAACTGCACTGCCCATTGGGCCATCTACTTGTGACATAGCCCAGTCTTCTAGGCAAAACCAATAGATACGATTTATACGGAGTATATGAACTTTTATTGCTTGACTATCCATATCCCACAGGAAAAAGTTACGTTTACACTGATTCTCGTCTAATATGGGTATTATTTGATCAATTATTTACATATTTGCTAATATACATGGACGCTGAATGCTTCATAGTCCTTTAAGCGACAAACGTATACCCGGGGCGCGTCGCTTCGTTCTGCTCGCTCGTGGTGGGTTCACCAGCTGTTCCAAATTTTGTTCCATTCCATCAAAGAGAGATGGATCGCCCCAGGCTAGGAACACATCGTTCAATACTTGCTGTAGAGGATACGGGTTTCGCCGCCGCAGCATGCGGTTCATGCGCCGCGCTGACAGAATATGGTGGCTATAAAGCATGGCTAGCCGGTGGCGGACTGCCTGTGAGATCAATCGTTTGTCAAGACGAAGACCGGATTGTTCCAGCTCTCGAAGTAAAATCAGCCCTCGCACCCATGGAATGAGCTTTTCGTCCGTTTGGGAGTTAGGCGGGGCGATGGTAAATTTCGATGCGGTGGTATCCAATACTCTAAACATGAAGCCCCAGGAGACGATGGCAGCTTGCATTTGTGGGGTAAAAACCAGATCAAGCATCCGCTGATCGCGGCCATTTGCTTGCTTGGTGAGATCAAGGGACAGTTTGGGCCTCTGCTCAGGGCTTTCGGCGTACTGGCGGACGAGCCACAGGCAGCATTCTCGGAGTTTGTCCCAGTCTGCCCATGCATCTGCCATACCAAGACGCTTGAGCATCTCAACCCAGAATGCAGCACTGACATACCCTCCCGCGGGAACCACGCGCTTTAGAATCTTGAAGATGAAGATGACTTCGTCGACTGCAGACAGGCGTTGACCGGGCGGCGGGCGATGGTTCATTCGCCGAGGGGTGAGAATCTGGTCGGCCATGAAATCCACGCTGTCTTCGCCCAAAGTCCGGCCACGGAGGGCTAGCTCGTCGGCAACCTTAGACGCCGCGCTCAATTCCCAAGCCGCGATATGCTTTCGAAAATGTATGTCGTAGAGGTCTGGCGCGCCAGGATATAGTTCTGTTAACACCGCTAGAGTCATATTGTACAATCGCCAATCTCGGGCCATGTAGTACGATACCAACATTGACTCCTGCATCCGCTTGTCTTCGAGAGTGTCAGGATGCTGATCGCTGTGGAGGATGTCGGAGAGAAGAATTTCGCGGTTTTGGGTAGCAAGTTTTTGAACTAAGCGCGAGAAGACAGTGCTTCCTATGGAAATGCCGGACTGCTTAAGTATTTTAAGCTTTTCCAGAAGATCTTGGTTGCCATGAGCTCTCGTGGCTAGTTCGCGCAACGTCCGGTGGCCGATCTCTGATACACCGAGCATCTTCAAGCCACCAACGATCATATCGAAATTGAGAGCACGAGTGGCAAACAGCTTAGCCCCAATATCATCTTTGAAGGGTTTTTCGTCTTTCGGTCCCCTTTGCTCGGATTTTGAGACTGTATCTATTGGACCAGATTGGTCAATCGAAGCTTCAGTATCAAATCGCTTTTTGACATAGCCACGGAGCCGGTTGAACTCTTTCCGTAGCCCGAATTTCTCAACATATTCCAGCAATGGCTGTATCTCGTCGGGGCTCTGTGGGTGATCCTGACGTCGAGCAAGGAAATGATGCATTTCGATCGCCGCCTCTCCGTGGCCTTGCTGCATGAGCATAGCAATGACAGGTCCATAAAAGTTATGATCGGGCGTTGTGGAGCACATGGCTTGGAATGCCTGCAATCCGGACGACAAAGACGACCGCTCGAGATCAACCGAAGTCACAAATTCCGTACCAGCCGGAAGAGACGAAGAACGGATCACCGAGGGGAGGATTTTCAGAACATCATTTGCGCTGGCTAGATTGTAATTCTGAAGCTTCTTGTGCCATTCGACCGCACGCTTCGTCAAGCCTTGCTCAAGAAGTCCACCCACCACGCGCTCATACAGTTGTGGCCATCGGTTTCCTTGTTGCTCCCATAACATGACAGCATAGTCAAGAACCTCCTTGAGAAAAAGCTCTCGCCTCAATCCCATGTCCACAAAGCTTTGCCAAAAGAAGTCTGCTTGCTCTCCTGCAACTGGGAGCCATACACCATCCACTCGAACCCTCAGCCCTTCCCATATGTCTAGCGTGCCATTGTCGCCATAGTGACGCTGACGATATCGAAGAAGCTCCTCCCACAAATCGAAATTATTTCGATGCTCCAAATTATCCACCAATCGCGTTCCGATGTTGCTGAGGTGCCCGACGTCCGATTCGAATTCAAGCTTGTCCGGTCGGAGAGATAGAAGTTTGGTAGGGCATTGTGTCGTGTTATTATGCGTTTGATTCTCTACGAGAGGTGTGGGCTCAAAGGTATTTGGTTCGTTTGTGGCCTCAATGTCGTAGATGGGAAAGCTGAATGGCCGTTTCCCTCGGCATGAATTCTCAAGCTGATGCCGTGTCGGGCTATTATCGGGTTCCTCGAGTGGTTCTTGTTTGGTGCTTCGTGAATGACATCGTAGACACCTGTACCTAAACTCCAATTGCTCAATTCCGATTGTTGTTGCTGTGAGTGTGTCAAGGATCGAGACGGCGGACGGCCTCTTCAACAGTCGCAGAAGCGCCGGGCGCATGAGTGATTAGGAAAGGAAGGTCGGGAAAGCAAATTCTCGACGCCAAACATCCTTCTTCGAGCTCCCGACGTCAGTCCAAAAAGTTCGTTGCCGAATATTCAAAAGTTGATACGCGTCTGGGCACTTTTCTGGCGCTTTTCCCTTTTGGGATGATGACTAGATACAACGTCTGATTCGATCAGGTGATGTTTGACACGTGACACGATATCCTTCTCATTCCGGACCAACTTCACATCCCCATTTCACCCACGTCGTACCTCACATCCCCGCTCCTTCTTCGCTTCTAACCGTGAAAATGTTCCGTGCTACTAGCTCCCGCATGGCTGGGTACGTTCTCCCTTCGAATCGCTGCATAAATACCCCGCACACAAACCCGATCTTGAGAGTGCAACCATTGAACTTCCTCCCGCGATCTTCGGGGTTCAATTGCGATTGATACTGCTGCGGGGACCTGCTATCCTGCTATATTGGCACAAATCATGTTGACTGACTGGCTCTCTTTAGCTTCGTGTTCCGTGAGAACCGTGTGCCATACTACCAGCGTCTCTTCCAGAACCACGATGGCAAGCGCCAATGGTGGAAGGTCCGTACACACCGCAAGGGGCGCCTGTGCCCTCAATTGAATTTCAGAAAGCGCAAGAAACTGACATTAGAACTGTCTCACAGACCTCCCGCTCCGGCTACGTCATGTACCCCTACCTCATCTCGGTCTACGGCCTCGGTGCTGGTGAGTGCACCCGTCTTCCGATATGAAATCCGGTCGAGGATAGAAAACTAATCAATAATAGCTTCCACCTACGCCATGTGCCGCATGGTTCTCGTTAGTTTCACCCAACTTGTTACTTCTCATGCTCCGACGAGAAGCACGAGTATACGTTCAAATGCTGATTTCTTTACAGGGCCACAAGACTTGGATCTAAATCATGCGGTCTTAAGACTTAGTTTGGCAGAGATAAATGATGCCATTTTCAGTTCCGTTGGTTGTGCAAACTGCAGCATCGGTTGTTTTTTGTATGGTGTATTTCTACTCCAGGAAGGGATTAGATGGGTTGGCAGCCACGCAGATTTGGAGCTGTACATACGAACAATTCAAGCGCCAATCCAAGAGATGTTGCCATATATCATTTTCCTGGTCTCATAGAAGTACTCGTTCAGATCTCTCACCCTAAGGGTAGCACTGTTTTGATAGAATAGAAACGGTTGTGCTATGACTCGCAACAAGCCGAAGCCGAGCTATTTTGGCCTTCACTGAACCTGCTAAGCACCCAAGAGGCGGTAACTACTATCCACGCATTAGATTCAGTATTGCTCATATGTACAGCAGTGGAGATATCTTGTCCGGCGAAGGATGACTTCATGACTCGCCTATGCTATCAGGCAGGCATACACAGGGTACGGACGCCCTCCCTCTACAAGACGTTGTAATTTAACATCTTCTAGTAGCCATCCATATACAAACATAGTCTAATATGATCGTCTGATACTCCTTCGACAGGCTTTAGGAACTCTCAAAGTCTCAAATATAGCAGTCACCACGACAACACCGTCTTGGAAAAGTTCATATTTTTGGTTTCCAGCGCGCGCCTTCATTTGAATATCTCGAGCACGTTAAATTGTGTTGGACTTGAAAATTGAGTGCTTGTGCCAAGCAGGTCATGTCAGAAGTTCTAGATGACCTCGGGAGACTACAACATATAAATCAATGGCCCGCCCTTGCGGGGTCCACGGTCCACGCCCGGGTGCCCACGGGTGCTCAAGCTTTACGTTGATTACTCAGCTGTTTCACAGCCCGCCCACTAGTCGGCCAATTTCACCTACTTCCAGCTCCAAGTCATAATATACAGCGGCTTTGCTTGTTCAGATCTGATATCTCTTAAACAAGGCATTCAGTGAACATATATATATCTCGATATAGCCTGTCGATTGGGGTCCTGAAGTACTTGATTCATGCTCCTAGGATGATTATCATTGAGAGACATGCGGTCTGATATTGAATATAGCAAATATAATAATGGAAGACGAGAGCTTCCACTATTCAGAGAGACCTGCCAAGCGGGTTCGTCAGGCCTGTGAGCCTTGCAGGTACCGCATCTATCGGATTCTTCAAAAACCTAGCCGATAACTAATTTCTCAGGCGTAAGAAAGCGAAATGCCCCGGCGAGCAGCCTGTATGTTCTCTGTGTAGCAGGTTACGGCAACAATGTCTATACGCCGATGAAAGGCGCCGTCCACTCCCTGAGTCAAGTCCAAGGCTCAATGATTCAGACACCCGAACATCGCAGGTTCTGGTGAGTATTTGTTTATATCTCAATGCAAGCCTGAAGGACTTTCGTCCTTTTATCCAGATACTAACTCCATCATAGGAAGATAGATTGCGAAGCCTTGAAAGCAAAGTGGGAGAGGTCCTCAATGTACTTGGGTAAGAACATACGGGATCCCTATTTAAACAATTACTTACTCCTCGAAACATGTTGCAGCTCAAGGAGTGAGCCACAAATGCCCAAAGAATCTCTTGTCCCGTCTGTGACATTGTCGATGCCAGGCTCATCTATTACCCTACCACCGTGGGAGGAGATTGTTCCAATTGCGGAGCTATATTTGCTATACTGTGACTCCCAGCCCCTGCCTCTTTTCTACAGGGATAGTTTTCTCTCTAGTCTACAAACTCGCGAGGCAGAACTTCTTTTTGCTATATTGGCCCTCGCATCTCGCTTTTCATACGCTCACCGCAACAGGGCCGATTCCACCAGCCTGATAAACAGCTATGCTGAGGTTGCTCGAGGCCTCGTTATGAAAAGAGTCTCAGAAGGGCCGGTAGAGCTTTCGACACTTCAATGTCTCTGTATTCTGAGTTTGGTCGACTTCACGAGTATGAGCCCGGCGTTTTCTATCTCTAGGGTTGGGCTAATAATATCTACTAGACGGCAACACACACCGTTCTAGCATCCACAGCAGCTTAGCAATGAACCTTGCACAGTGTGCTAATCTCGGACAAGAGCCCCGTTCATCAACTAGCACTATAGTTCGCGAAGAACGCAGGCGCTGCTTCTGGAGTATATGTCTTCTCAAACGACTACACGGCGGCGACTTCCCAATCCCAGACATACCCCAACCCGGAGGCCCTCCATATCCCCGAAGCCCGGCACGACCGGCACGCTCCCTCTCTCCAGGGCCACCAACCGTCGAAGTACGGCAAAGTGACATGAAAGATGAAGGTATTATTGCATATGTGGTAATGCTCAGCGAAGTGTTTGCAAGGACAGCACGATACGTGCGACTTCATGGACGCCCAAGCAATGTCCCACCGTGGTCTCCTCGTTCTGAATACTCGAAAATTCTTGCTTTACAAATGGATCTCGAGACTCGCATGCCATATCTTCACCGATTCAAGCCAGCTAATCTCGGTGAACGGTCTCGAGAGGAATTACAGACACATCGTGAATACTGGGGCCCATGGTTTCTGAACCAATTTATGTATCATACCAGCCTGTGTCTACTCAATCATCCACTGCTTTTGTCGCTCAGCCTTCGGAACTTCCGGAGTACTATCCCGGAGATCTTCTTACAGCATACCTCGGACTTGATCTCGTCGCATACAACCTGGATCATTCACTTCATCAACTGCTTTGAAGAGAAGTCATTTCTAGTATCAGATCCATTACTAGGCTACAGCGCCGCCGTTGTCGCTACAATCGAGCTACAACTCAGTTTCACAGATGATTTGACTATCAGAGAACATAAGCGTGAAAGATTCGCCAAGTGTGTCAAGTTTGTGCAAACCATAGGGGAAAGGTGGCCGCACATGGCTCAACTGGTAGGAATCTCCACCCTCTCAGATTTCTTTTGGTTAAAGTAGCAATCTAACACTTCATTCCTCATATCACCAGGCCCATAGATTACAGAGACTAGAAGATGCAGTCTCGGCAACCTACCAATCCGACCCAGGCGCGCAAAACCAAAGCCTTCTAATCGACCTATCCCGATTCTGGGAAATCCTCGAATACTCATCCAACAGCGACACAGACTCTGCTCGGCGTTTATTCGGGGAGTCACTTTATGCCGGCTCGTCTTCTATGGGCGGAGAAGTATCTCAGACATCACCTTTGCCTGCGCCGTTCCGGTTGAGTGCCCAGGGAGGCGATACCCCAAATACTGGATCTCAGTCATTCAGTGCCAATACTGGATTTCCTAGCCAGGACTACCCAGCAAGCTCTTTGGTCTCACCGCAGCATTTAACCCTGTCTAATGATGAGTTCTCTATTCTTGCTGCCAATTTCTTTTCTCAGGGGCAAGAGTTTCTGCGCAGTGGTGATAACTGGGAGAGTATTGGGAACTTTTAAGGGCCTGCAACAGCAAGCTTCAACTCCAGTGTATTTTTATCCTGTCTTCAATTCCGAGATTCAGTAGCATGAAAGAAAGAAAGGTTCACGGCATATTATTCATGGTGTATTGCATTATCATCATACTCAACATTCGATCCACATTTATCTTCAGAGAATTAATTGCCAACTACGAAGAGGCCAAAGCGCCCTTGAATTCCTTGACAAAGTTGAACACCTCAGAGAAAGTGTTGTACAACGGCACTGGCGCCACACGAACAACGCCCGGCTCCCGCTTGTCGCAAATGATACCTGCATTCTGTAGGCGTTCGGATACCTTGTGCAGTAAGCCAGGCTTGAGCAAAACACTCAGTTGAGCCCCTCGAGCGTAGGGACCTGACGGAGTGATAATATCAAACAGACGAGTCTGCTCGTCGGTGTCCTTCAGAAGCAGGAATTCCAGATACGCTGTCAGCTTTAATGACTTTTGGCGTAAATCGGCCATGGAGGTCTGATCGAAGACAGATAAAGCTGCACAAAGGCAGGTCAAATCAATGACTGAGGGATTGGAGACCTGAAATCCTCCAGCTCCGGGAATAGGCTTGAACTCTGCTGATGGTTAGGATATGCTAGAAACTGCATCGCGCCACGCGAATAGGAAAAAACTAACTGTTGTCCATCTTAAACCTCACTGACCGATCACCACCATACCATCCTGTCAAGCGGTGACGGAACTGAGGGGCATCTGGTCCAGCGCTATAATCAACTTGGCCATGCCTCTCGTGCACGAAAAGGCCGCCCATCGCGCCGGGTCCGGCATTGCCGTACTTGTACGTGCACCAAGCTGCGAAGTCAACGTTCCAGTCGTGCATCTTCAGTTCCACATTTCCATATGCGTGTGCTAGATCCCATCCAACGACGAGGTTCTTTGATTGGGCGTACTTGGTAATTGTGGGGATGTCAAAGAGCTGTCCGGTGTAGTATTGGATACCAGGGAGAAGAAGTAGTGCTGCGCTTTCCGCATGCTCGTCGATATAAGACAGGATTTTCTCTGTTGAGATCTCGTATTGTCCTTCATTTGGGCCAATGAGAATCATGTTCTCCTTTGCATCTAGGTCATGCCAGGCAATCTGTGATTCGATTGCATACTGTAAACGTCAGTGATGGGTAATTGGGACAGTAGATTATCACGATCAGTATCGTAGATCATCACTCACATGATCACTGGGGAATGCTTTCCAATCCATTAAAATCTTGCGCTTGGTCTCAGTTGGCTTGTAGAAGCTTGCAAGCAACAGGTGAAGGTTCGTGGTCAGCGTTCCCATAGCTGCGACCTCTTCAGGTGCGGCCCCGACAATGCGGGACATTGAAGCAGCCGCCTGCTCGGATAGAAGCTGCCACTGTTTCAATGGTGAATCTTCAAGATCAGTGAAGTGTCCACAAACACCGATGGACGACCAAGTATCCAACTGAGCCTCCATGTACTTCGACACGGCCTTTGGTTGGATGCCCAATGAGTTACCGCAAAAGTACGTGCTTGGCTCTAATGAGAGACCTAAATGAGTTGTTAGAAACAATTAAACTATATTTCGTGTCTCGGTGGGGTTATGCTTCTCACCTGGCTTCGCCAGCTTTGTCGTAGCAAGATTCGCCTTGGAGGGAATAATAAACTGGTCACGGAATTCACGCAAAGGGTCAGCTGCATCAAGAGACGCGGCATAACCTTCTGATGCTGCCTCTGCAGGAAAGACCGGCTTAGACACTTTGGAGCTCGTCATGTTGATACTAAATGCTATTGTTCGTGAACTTCGTCGAATATAGTGTAGTAAGTTAAGTACAATTTGAGCTGTACCCAGATTTTGTGGCAGTGAGGAGGGGAAAAATACAATGAACTCAGAAATGTAGTGCTTTATAAGGTAAACGCCGAATCGGATGCCAGGGAGACCTTCAAAAGAGTAACAAAGGGTAACACGGATGATGTTCCGCTTCCGCCTCTCCGATCCGTCTACATACTCTTTATTGGTTGACGAGATAGCATATCGTTACATCATATAGTAGTAGGTTATACATAGTTATACTAATTATACTACTGACGTATGTGCGACATAAAACTATCCATAGGTTATCTACTATATACAATGCATTATATGCATAATGCATGGATATTTGCAGGTGGTTTGCCTACCAGCTAGCAAAGAAAAGCAATCAGAATCTTTGATTAGCAACAGGACTAAAAAATCAGTTCAAGTTTGTAAGTCTGTATCATAATCTTAGCCCCAAAAAGCTCTTGAAGAGTATTTGGGCACTTTTACTTGTCCAACATCCCTTACATCCCCAAGTGTTGAACCAACATGGAAGTGGCCAGAACTAAGTCTTATCCATGGATACTCCATTAAGAGGCGGAAGGCGGATAGAGATCCGTATATATTCCGGATTGTATAGATATCTTGACTAAATGGCCCCGATACAAGCCGATGCAGTAAAATATTTCAATAATGAGGCCACACAGTACTAGAAATATCCTTGCACTATAAACCTAAAAGGCTAGCTTTCCCCGTTGTCTTTGTTTATACCACGCCAGACGTGTTCTCCCTTCCTCCCCAAGATTCCTCCACGACCATTACCCACAATGTTGCAATCAATGGATGCTGTTCTCAATGATCTTTTTGAAAGTTATGCCGAGCAGGGCTTTCTTTCGGATGGTCCCCCGCTGGTCAAGCTCTCAGACCCTTATTACGAGACCTGGGAGGATATAGCCAGCCAACTCCCAAACCTCATCCAAACAAGCCAGATCCGCGAGACAATCGATAAAATGCCCGTCTACACAACTGAGCATCTTCAAACAGAACCAGAATGGCGACGAGCATGTGTTATTATGGGATATCTCGCTCATGCCTATATCTGGGGAGGAGAGACCCCAAAAGATGTAAACACACACCACTCTTTCCTTTCTGTTCGAACAAAGTCCTCCTAACATCCAGACAATAACAGAGACTCCCCCTTCAATCTCAAAGCCCTTTCTTGAAATATCAGTACACCTCGAACTTCCTCCCTGCGCCACCTACGCCGGCCTCACACTATGGAACTTCACACATTCCCACCCAGAGGCAGATATCACAGACCCGGACAATCTCCACGTTCAGACCTCCTTCACCGGCACAAAAGACGAGGAGTGGTTCATGGTCATCTCCGTCGCTGTTGAAGCCAAAGGCATCAAGCTGATCTCACTGATGCGGGACGCTTTCAAGGCAGTTGCTGCCAACGACGTAGACCTACTCACTGCCCTCTTGTACAGGTTTGCCGACGGTTTGAGTGATCTCACATTGACTCTGAAGAGGATGTATGAGCACAACAAGCCAGCTGTCTTCTTTCATCAGCTTCGGCCGTTCTTGGCTGGCAGCAAGAATATGGGTCATGCGGGCCTTCCCAGGGGTGTGTATTATGATGTTGGTAATAGTGATGGAGTGGAAAGACCAGAGAATTGGTTCCAATTGAGTGGCGGGAGCAATGCACAAAGCTCGCTCATCCAGGCACTTGACATTTTCCTTGGTATTAAACACTCTGCGACGGATGGGAAACAAGCTGCTGGCCCGAGTTTTATTCAGGTAAGCACATCGCGGGATAGTCATTGGTCTTCAGAGTCGCTATCTCTAGATATATGCGAATAAGTATTAACACCAGAGACAGCAAATGCGAGACTACATGCCTGGTCCGCATAGGCGCTTCCTTGAAGACCTGTCTGCTCGATCTAATGTTCGTTCGTTTGTACTCGACTCGCCGGTTCAACAGCTCAAGGATTCATACAACGCAGCTGTCAATGAGCTCAAGGCTTTTCGCGATACACACATCCAGATGGTCACTCGATACATTGTCATGGCGTCGAGACGACCTAATCCAGTTGAACAGGGAAAAGACAGAATGAATCTAGCCACGGCTAGCTCTCAAATGAATGAAGTAGGAGCGAAAACTAAGCTTTCTGGGACTGGTGGCACGGACTTGATACCCTTCCTCAAACAGACCAGAGACTCGGTTCAAGATGCCAAATGCTAGGTGCTCGGATGGAACTGTGATGACTGAACGAAAAATTTGTGACATATACTTGTTTTTTTCATATTGTAAATTGATATTGATTGACTTCCACCGGTCCTATGGTTCAAAATGAACTTCTTAAAACAGATAATCATATCACGAACTACCATAAGATGCATCCCGCGATCTTGAGGTACATCAACGGTGATAGGACTGTATCCTTGTAGGATTTCCCCTTTCCCAGGCAAGTTGCAGACCATTGCAAATTTGGTATGAATGTGCGTTGAATAAAATCCTCGGTGCATTCCCGACCCTCTAAAGCATGGCCTGCAATGTTCCACCTCGCGGGTAACGAGAAAAGCATCCCGAGTGCTAGGGACAAAACTGCGATGACGCAGATATTAGAGCCTGTTGCTCGTGGCTGGCATATAATGCAATAGTCGTGAGAATTGGGTGGAAACAGACAGGCTGGATCTTGCGGCTAGGCGGATTATCAACGGTGTAAAGACACGAACTTCGACTGTTGAAGGCAGTAGAGCCACTCAAAGGGTCCCAGAACCGAGGAAAGTTCGAACCACGATGGTGAGGGTTATTTGCCAGGCACATTCTGACCGGGAGGGTGCTCAAAAGTCAACTATACAGCGGCCATGGCCTGGGTTCTTGGCTTAAGAGAAGTGCGTGAAGTAATCACCGCTTTTTCGTGTTGGCGGGCACACCCTCGCTCTCTCGCAGCTCGGCCAGATACTTCTCTCTCTCGATCAGCCGCTCCTTCTCTTCCCTGATCATCTGCTCAACTGTTTGAGTGGCCTCCGCCATGCGATCAAGCTCTTTCCTCTCGGTCATCCGACTGTATGGATTCCCGGGCGCATCATTCATCGGAATATCCGCCGTCCTGCCCTGCCCAATCTGCTTGGTATTCTTTCCCTTGCTCTTTCCAGGCTGGCCACCAGCAAAGCCTCCGGTGAGGATCTCGTAGAACGGCTCAACAGGCTCATTAAAAATGATCTCTTCGTAGTTCTGGCTGATGACAGTTTCCCGACGTTCTTTCATTCCCTCCGCATCTGGGCCGTAAGGGTGTAGCTTCAGACTATGCCACAGGGTCTGGGGCTTCTCATTTGACTCGGGCACAAAGTAGAGTTTGATCTGGATTTCGAATTCACCCCAGCCAGTCTCGGAAACTTCGAAGGGCGGCTGCTCGATCGAGCGCACATTATGGGCGTATGTCTCGTGCAGCTTGAATTGGACTTTCTTTAGCCAGTAGGAGATGTCCTCGCCGTTAACTCCCTTGACAAATATCTCCCACCTGTGGGTGTGGTCTGGAGGGCAGTTCGGGGGCTTCTGCTCGGGATCGAAGGGGTGCGCTATACTGCCAAATACTGTGTTTATTAGCTTGTGACTGTCGGTGATAATGCGACCTTCACGGACATACCAAATGGTCGGAATACCGAAACGCCCTGATAGCGCGTTAGTTTGATTTTGGTATTTCTCGTGGTTTTTGGCTTACCCTGACACGCTTGTTTCCCGTTGCAGATGGCATCTTGTTAAGTTGATTGTAGACTGTAGAACCAGATGAGAACGGATTGTCTAGAGCAAGGGCGCAAGAATGTCCCGGAAGAAGGATAATCCGTCGTGGCTCAAGTGGCCCGACAAGAAGGCGAATGATACCGAATGATGCCAACTTTAAAGTCCCACAAAAGACAATTATCTTGAACTATTTAACTGTTTTGCTTATTGAAGAGTTTGATACGTGTGGCTAATTCCTCAACTCGGCTCTAAAGTCTAAATTGCGAGTATTGCTCTGATACTTTGGTGATATCATTCTCCGGAGCTATTCCAAAAGCTACAGCATGCAGACCAAAAGACTAGTTGTCGCCGGGGGAAGCGGTTTTTTGGGTTTGTGGTGCCCATCCAGTGCAGAATATTGATATCGTTTTACTGACTAGCTATTCTAGGATCCAGAATCTGTAAAGCCGCAACAGCAAGGGGATGGACAGTTACATCATTAAGGTAGCTTTCCCACTTGTGTATGGATCTACAGAAGAGCACTATGCTGATATTTGTCTAGTCGATCTGGTGAGCCCCGGTGGGAGACAGTAACCGATTCTCGGGAACGGCCCAGCTGGGCAGGCTCCGTGGAATGGGCTAAGGCCGATATCCTCAAACCAGAGAGCTACAAGTCACATTTGAATGGTGCCTCTGCTGTTGTCCACACAATGGGCATTCTCTTGGAAGCTGACTACAAGGGCGTTGTGCAAGGGAGAGAACCAATTATCAGTGGCCTACAACGAGCGTTTAGTACATCTAAGCTTGGAAGCCAAAACCCTCTATCAAGAAAGGAGGGCGAGGCTTTGGAGCCAAAGGAAAAAGATGGGCAGTTGACCTATGAACTGATGAACCGAGATTCAGGTGTGTACACGAGTCCTAAAGTCCGTTTCGAAAGTTGACACATGTGTGATTTAGCAATTGCACTAGCCCAAGAGTCCAAGAATGAGCATGTTCCGGCCTTCGTTTACATCTCGGCGGCAGCCGGGGCTCCGCTTCTGCCGGCTAGGTACATCAGTACTAAAAGAGAAGCAGAGGCAACTATCACATCCACCCTCCCAGACCTACGAAGCATCTTCATACGCCCGGGCTTCATGTACGACTCAAGTCGGAAGTTCACGCTGCCAATTGCAATGGGTGGCTTTGTTGCCTCGGAGTTCAACATGCTCCTCGGGAACAAGCTTGGGTTCCTTGGAAGTATGGCTGAAAAGCCCCTCAAAGTCGATGTTGTGAGCGAAGCGGTGGTCGAGGCATTGGAGGATGAGTCCACCAAGGGTGCAGTCGGAACAAAACAGATTGAGGCACTTGCAACAAAAGCCTGGCGAAAGACGATGCTTTAGGTCTGTCGACTGACCCAGTGACTTGTATGTTTGTAAAACAACGTTTGTATTTTTTTTTTTTGCAGAGGGGTAAACGCATGGAATCTCTGTTGGTTGATTGATGCCTTGTCCAAGTATAGCTGTACAGCTCGGGACTTCCACTCATGTAAAATATCGCAATCAATTTCACGTTCAAATTAGATCATGGTGCCACGTTCGAAGCTATCCCGAATTTCGGTGGTGTACTAGAAAACTGTTAGCAAAGCGATCACACAAAGACCAATCAAGGGAACACTAACCTTGTTGTAGAAGCGAGCGAGTTTCTGGTTGAACTGCCTGTTCTTCTCGTTGATGTATGTCACATCCGCATCATCATCGCCACCACGTCGCTCCTTGCGTTTCTTCAGGCGCACCTCCTCTGCCTTCTGGATATCGTTGACCAATCTGTCAACAGCTGCCCGGTCTGGTTTGCTGTCCGTAAAGCCAGTCGAGTCAGCAGTAGAATAGAAGCTACCGTTCTTATCGATTGCAATCATTTCACCGTCCTCGGTCTCCACAATCTCGAGATCGCCGTTGGCTGCGGCTCTTTCGATCGCAGCAAGTTTTTCTTTCTCGTAGGATTCCAAGTTCGGGGCCATTTCTCTCAATTGTCTCTTGTAAATTTTGCGGGCATCTTGAGTGTAGTCCTGGAAAGCCACGTTATCTCGATGACGCTGTTTCTTCTCCATGCGCCTGTCCCACTTTTCCGATTCGTCGACTGTCCAGTCCCATGCGCGCTTACGTTCGAAATCTTCTCCATCGGCTTCCGTGTCTGCTTTGAGAAGGTTGTGCGAGGCGAATGCATGTTTGCGGGACAACGTATTTAGCAGAGCTGGGTCGGTACTCAGACGCTGGGACTCGGCTGCAGTCTCTTTTAAGTTGCGCTCCGTTGCGGATTTCTATATTTTGTGTCAGTCATGTGAAGGGATTGAACTGGCCAAGCCTATTGATATGCGCAGGTCATTTTTAGGACTACTTACAGCTCGAGCCTGCAGGGCTTTAAACCTATTCATTCTCTCACGCGCTTTGGATGCACCATCATCCTTCGTGCCATCTGCTTGAGTTTCGGCCTTGTTTTCGGAAGCTGCAACTAGTGGTTCGCTCGTGTTCTCGGTCGGTTGCTCAATGGGCTGTTCTTGGCTCGTCTCATCCTTCACGGATTTATCCGCATTTCTGGTTCGAACCATAATGCTCTCGTGGTGATCAATAGGTAATTAGCAGTTATGGATAGAAAGCAGTAATTTTTTTGTTGACAGCCAGATTGATAAGAAATGGAAGCTAGTTGAAGATGAAGTAAAAGCGCGAATGCGGGTCCAATACCGCCTCACACACCGCCCTTGATCTGCTGGTCAACCCCCAGACTTGACCCCCTTATCGGCCCGTGTTTATCTGGTTCTCCACATCTCAGATCAGCTTTACTCATAGTCGACATGGGAGGGCTGCATGGTCGAGTGCTGCTGCTGCAATCAAGGCGACGACTCAGCTCTGGAAACGTGTTTTCACGTCAATCAATGCGCAGCTTCTATCCTGCCACAACTAAACGACCCCATGACCCATCACCATCTGAGCTGCTTCGATTCGCCTTGAGAGATTCAACTGAGCCAATTCATGACTCTAATTCTAATGAGGCCTTATCTGCGTATCTTCGTGGACTTTTTGTCACTGAATGGAAGCTCAATGCTCCACCTGTCCCATTGTGGACCTCTCTCAAAGGATTTACCTCGCGGGACCAAGAGCTGTTGTGGGATGCCAATATCGACATCACCGATGTCTCTTCCCTGCGGAGTCTAATTGAGAGATATGTCAAAAACCAATATGCAGCAGAGATCTTGCAGACTGGTAATTGTTTATTGCTATATCACGCTTTACAACGCTGTCAACGGAAAAACACATTGGCAGAAATCCTATTGCTTCTACGTGACTTGTTTGCAAGATTAAAACGTCTCCAGCTTCCTATCCAGCCTGAACTGTACTCTATAGCGTTATATTTTGCCTCTCTCGATCTTTCGCCTTCAGATCTCAGGCACTTCTTGGATGACCACCGCCACAAGGACCTCCCAGCCCTAGGTCGCAAGGAAAGTTTGCAGGTAGTCCGATATTGTTCTGAAGCACTTGACTGTAGAATCTTTGAGGACCCATACTATGACCCCAATCCTATCCTTTCTGTGACCACAGGCGAAGAAGAGCTCGTGACCAAACCCCACAATCTGCATGATATCTTGTTCTGGACACAGACACAATCTACTGATCAAATTGACAACCGATTCAATTTTGAAAACAACGCCCAGGACTATATCTGTTTACTTGCTAGGCTCGGGAATGATGAAGTACTTCACAGATGCTGGTCTCATTTCCTGGAGAATATTCAGCCTAAAAACTATCACAGCTGCATTGCTGCCTATCAGATAGTGCTGGCTCTGATCCAAAATGTTCAGTCCGAAACAGCGGTGAAATGGCTGGAGGATATCTCTCAAAAATGTGGTGATAACCTGCCATTTATTGCGAAGTTCCCGAATCTTCGATCCTTCCTTAGTGATCCTATTGTGGGTGAGGCAATACCTGACCTAGTGAGAGGAGAGGACTACCTTGAACTACTTGAGTTTTGCCTTGAGGATATGGACCGAAGGATGGGTGTTCAATGGAGCCCTGAGAGTGAAAGCCATTTCAGTACAGCCTTGGACCCCTCAGAGTCAATCTACGAACCATTTCAGGATCAACTTTTGCCCAAAATCGGTAACAAATATGTTGGCCCTGATCATGGAGGACAGTTATATGCAGAACTTCGCGTTCATGGCTGTTCCAAGTCTCCGGCTGCACTGGGCAGGGTTGTAGATATGTTGAATGACCACGACGGACAGTCTCAAAAGGTCATCACTCATCTCGATTACAATATGACACGGCTTGATGGGCTTCGCTCAAAGTTTGAATCACTCGAACTCCGATGGGTACCAGAACACTCACCGATAGAATTTTCCAACTCCCAAATTCCGGCGCTACGCGACTCTTCTGAGCCTACCCCATCTACCCTAGGCCTTATTCGGGCTCGCTTGATCATTCATGGAGTTCCTCAAATGGGAATCGATAACTTACACTTGATGCAACTCGGTTGCATGGATATGCGGTATGGCCCAGATCATCCATGGCAGCCATCAGGATACATCGTGGTTTGGGACCGTCATTGCGGTGAACTCCTTGGGCTTTATGTCGGGCAGGGTACCGGGGTGATTGATTGTGGACCAGCGCCTTCAGATGGTCCCCTCGGTGCCTTGATGCATCTCACGCTCTCGACCAATCCTGACGAGCGAACATATTATCCTAGTGGCACACGCACTCATTCTCGAAATTGCTGGGGACCTTACTATTTGGATGTAGATCCAAGTGCAGATCTAGAGTATGAAGTGTTTCCATACGTGTGAAATACCCATAGAATCATGAAATATCATTTGGAGAGATGAATGATGGATCTTGATATAAACAGAGCGGGGATGTGCTTCGGCAGAATCTAGATGTACCACAACGTAAGGTTGTAACCGCCTGGAATATACCCTTTTCAGCTGCTCTACCTTTTCCAGTATCACTCCCATATTCTCAAGAAGTAAGCGATAGCTTTACAATATTCTGCTACCTCTAGAATCCAACTGGGATGTCCCTACCCATGAACCTACAGCCTATCGATGAACGATTTCCATCGGCACCCCGCTCACTAGGGCCACGATCTCAGCTCGGTTTCTCTCGGTGATCAGGGAGATCATCAGCCAGTGACACGCATTGAGATTGATTTTCCTTCCACAAAATGGGGTGTCAAGCCACCCACGACATTTGCAATGTCAGGATCGTCGGTAAGGATGAGGGCACGTCACCCATTTGATATCCAAGCATTTGCCTTCGAAATCTTAAGATGTGCCTAACTATGAATGGTACGTCTGTCAGAATATCTTTTCCTATTCTGGTCGGTTGTGAGACAATGAGCACATGGAGACCCGGGTTGCACTCCCTGCAGCAAGCCGCAACCGCAGCTCCACAAGGCTCCCAAAGAGACAGCATGTTATTGGGGACTACCGGGGAATCACCGGAGAACTATAAGGAACAATCAATGCGGCCACAATGGTATATCATAGGGCATTCGATTCTCTAAAAATTGCAGTGAGGTCATTTGTGATCTGTGTCTAGTCTAAAGTCGACGGATGATGAACTAGGAGGCTCACGAGATCCGAGTCCCTACATCTACCGATGAGCTAGATCAAATGGGTCACCCTTGACTGCATTTCCAGGTTTATTGCAATCCCACTATTGGAGCTACTTCTACCATAATCAGGCTACAAACCTCACATAGCATAGCCCACAGGATCGGCATATGATGTCGACTATCCTTCTAAACAATAAATCTCAAACGCTTGGACCCATTTAGTTTTCGTCATATTGCAGCTACTTTGCCGATCGATCTGACAAAAAAGATCCTTTCCCCAATTAGAAATGTTTAAAATCCACTGGAGACCCACGGAGGATAATTGGTGAGAACTGTTTAATTTTGAGGAAAAGCTATCTTTATATTGGTTTCCCTGAAAATCTTTACTAATTGTACCTTCGAAACTACACTAGGGACATCATATGATGACTTTAGTCACTAAAGTCATCACCAAGATCAAAGTCAGCCCACTATCAGAGAGTCCCAACTAGTTTTCCCCCATTTATGGAGATCTTTTTATTTTTCCTGCCAAGCAACGGTCGAACGCCAATCACCGCGCCTCAGGCTCCAGCCACTTGAAAACCGGATAGGCTGAAGGCTTGTCCCATCTCTTTTGCAAAAAGTCTGCAAATTTGCTACTCTATTAGGAGTTCTTTTCTCTTATATATTTTGGTATACGACAATCCTTGGCCCACTAGACCGGTTCGCAAAAAGGCATATTTCCACAAGGACTTTGTTATCTCTTTTTGGGGCCATTCGCACTATCCCGATAGGTCAAAAACAACTACGACACCGCGAGATTCAATTTCCCCCAAAGCTTCTTGTATACAAGTTCCAGAACGACTTTCATATCTGAACGTCTTTCGAGAAATTGAAATATATAAATATTATATATATATATATATTTCACAAGATATCTTTTTCTATCAGGAACAGGGTGCTATATAGTATTCATCTTCCCCACGCACTATTTCCCATGTCCCACTTGGTCTTCTCTCGTGGCAAAGCCCGCTCGGCCCGTTCCCCGGCTCTTCCCTTTTTCTCGGTGGATACGCCAATCGTAGCGCTGTCGAGATGTGTTTTGTTGGAAAAACCCCTAAAAAAAAAGTATACTGTTTCTGCAATTTCCACTGTCTTATTCCTTTTGATTGGATAGTTTGGGAAAACTGGACAGGGGTGTCTAGATTTTGCTGTGGGTGTTTTTTTTTCCCGGTTCCTGAGGAAAAGAAAAAAAAAAAAAGTCAGTGACCAAGGAATTCCCCGAGGGAAGTATATATCCCCAAATTTCTACAAAAGGATACCGAAGTGGTGTGATGAGACCTTGCCGTTCACATGCGGCTTATCAGATTATTAACCCATATACTACATTCTTGTCCCCCATATATAATTCGGTTGACTCTCTGATTATCTCTTTTGGTATTCAATGCATCATCTGAAACCAACCCGAATACGGCAATATCGAAACTATACAAGGATCATCTATCGGCGCTTGCGCAAGTCTCCGATAGATGTCGAGGCCACCGCCACAACAATGTGGGAATTCCACACCGGAACGGCCATATATCGATTCGGTCCCCCGCACTCAACACCACGGCCCGATACCCATGCCCTATTCACACCGATATGAGCCTCGACAAGTTCTACCCCAGAACGCTGGGCTCGGAGCACCACTTGCTCCGAGCCTTCCTGCCTTGGTCGTTCCCGAGAGAAGCGCAGATCCCCGATATATGCTCTCCTCCGACAATGCCTACATGAATACACAACCAATGCCGCAAGTACTCCCGCTGCGATACTATCACCACCCGCCGGGGAACTCTGATGCCCGTGGTCCCTACTATGAAGAGAGAACATATCCAACTTCGAGCCATGCCCGTGATTATGATAGTCACCGGAGCTGGACATACGACGTGGAGTCCCAGTAAAGTCCCTCTCTTTTTGTTCCTGTCGATTGAATCACCTCAATCTCTGTCAGTGGTCCTGATGCGATGTTCTTTGGCTTGGGGTTTCGAAACACAATCCATCCTCTCATGTCACATCTGTGCTAGGTTACACAACGCAGGGAGACATTCGAACAAGACCACACAATTCTGACTACGAAATCTATATAGACACAGCAGCAGTTCCACAGCCATGCCCAGCCCCGTCTGGTCAGACAAAAGCGCAGCCGCCTACCCATTCAACCCTATACTAGCCAGCACTCACCAAGACCCGAAACCACAATCCCGAAACGCGAACTACAGAATGCCACATGGCTTTGACAGACTCCTCCACCATGAACCAGAGCCACAACCACTCCTCCCACCACCCAGACGACCATCTACCCAATCTAGATACCATCTCCACATCCGACAACAGCCCATCGCCGCACGAGCCTGCGGCGCAGGTGACAGAGACCGCCGTCCCGTCGACCCACCCCCAATCGTACAGATCCTCCTCACCGACTTTGACTCCAACTCCCAAGAAGACCGGGATCTCCTCCAGGACCCCCGTTTCACGGTGGGCTGTCTACTATTCCCTGTCTCGCCTTCTTTACCATGGGCCGAACCAACACATGCACATCCGCGCGAGCGCGAACGCGAACAGGACCGAGATCAAGACCGGGACCGGAATCGGGATAGAGAGCGAGAACGAGAACGAGAAAGAGAAACAGACGGAATCGCCCGCACAGACGACAATTTCTCAACCCCGTTACTATCTGGCAAAGCCTTCATGTCCCCCTTCTACGTCGACGCCGACCCAGATCCTAACTCCGCACCCGCTCACCCATCCTCCATAGCCGATCTGTATCCTCCCAACCCTCCTCACCATGTCTACAACCACGCCGCCTCGCGCCTCCACCAGCCAGCTACCTTCTTCATCTTTGCCGACCTCTCGATCCGCTCGGCGGGCCTCTACAGGCTCCAGTTCCGATTGATGAATTGGGGTTCTGTTGAGGATACGGGACAGTCGATGCCGATTCTTGCGGAGGCGTGGTCTGATCCGTTCCGCGTTTATCCTGCGAAGGATTTTCCTGGGATGAGAGATTCGTCGATTCTTGCGGAGGGGCTGAAGGAGCTTGGGTTTGTAGAGTTGAAGACTAGGGGCCATGGGAAGGGGAAGGGGAAGAAGAGGCAGTAATTGGGAGTTCTTGTCATTTTTTGGGGGGATTCTTTTCTCTTCTTCTGTTGTGTTGATATTATCATCCTTCGAACCTCTTGGTTGTTAGTTTGGAGTCTGTGAATGGTTCTCGGGTTGGCACGAGGAAAGGAAAACTTGGATTCAGGGATGAAACAGGGATGGCGTTGGATTCTTTTTTTTTTCTCGATCATAACGACAGTTCTGATATTTTGCTTTCTCTTTCTGTCAGTTTGGCATGGAAATATGAGGCAAGATGAGATATGAATGCTGGAAGGTGTGGGGAGGGGAAGGGGGGAGATACATAGAAGACAATGTATCAATCAAGGCCCAAAAAGAAACATCGCTAGGATACATAGTGGGATACAGGCCAAGAAAAAAAATGTACAGCAAAGATAAAATATTTAACTAATCCTCAAGAGCTTAGGAGGTAGACCAGGGTTGAAGCTCTCATCTTCCCACTTATTCTTCATCTCCACCAGGCTTTTTCTCGATAACGCGGTCGGAAGACCCATTTTAGCAGTAAGCTTGTACATCTCACGGCTCTTCTCCATATCGCCATCCTCTCGAAAGAGCATGGCTAAGATATACCCGGCCTCATTGTTCCCCTTCTCAAAAGCAAGCTCGTACCAATCTATCGCAAGCATGCGGTATGACTTGCGATCTAAGGGTTGATTGAAAAATGTATGAACCCATTTTGTTATAGGTTCAAAGGGTCTCAACCAGGCGCTGCGTGTGGCATTGGTCTGTTCCATCTCCTTGGCGTATATCTCTGCCTCTGTCGCAAATTCGCCTTGGAAGGTGCGATAATAAAAATTGGCAATGTAAAAGCAAGCTGGAGTGTGTCCCCCCAGCGCAGCATCAGCCATGTACGACTCGTACACATCGTATTTGTTGGGTTCATCCGTTCCCAACACGGAGATGGCATAGTCAGTCATGGCGACTGGGTCGTTGAACTCCAAGGCGGCTCGGCGCGTGGTCTTAAGAATGCCCCGAAGACCCTGTTCCTTCTCAACAGCAACAGCGTACATCCGCCAGGGCGAATCAAAGTGATCTCGTAACATTATATCCTCCCAGTGCCTAGGGGGCACGGTAGTAGGTTGTAGGTATGGCAGAATCTTCTGCTCCAGAAGCTGGGCGGCTTGTGCATTTTCACCGCGCCAGAGGAGCAACTTGGCATATAGCATAATCGCATGAGGGAATTCGTCTTTGAGAGCCAAGTCTCTCACCTGCGATATGTACTCGTTGTTCCGGTAAATGTCCACACCTGTAAGGCCGAGATACCGGTTCACAACTATGATAAGAGCTCGGCGCGAACCCGCTTTTGCACAACTGGTCAACGCCCACTGCCGGACGTATTCGCCCATTGGAAGCTGTCCAACAATGACCGCGATTCGATAAACAGCGTCGACATCTATAACAAAGTGCGTATATTTAGTACCGGTATGTTCAATCCGTAGCCTTTCACTGGATAATCATTTGTAACTGACCTATTGAGATACTCCGAGCAAGACTTGCGGAAGGGCGCTGCGAGAACGCAAGCTTGATCAACTGTTCACCCACGGACCCGAACGTCGCTAGGTTCAGACTCGGCGGCAGGAAGGGACGATAGGTCTCATAAATTATGGGTTTGAATTGCTTGAACTCAGCAAGTATTGGTTCAACATGGGCAGTACAATAACCATTCCAAAATCCGTCACGGTCTAAATTACGACCGTTTTTGGTTCTCAACTCATTCGGTGTTACCCCGCTCCTCTCTTGTTTCCGAGCAGATGGTGCTCGGGGAGAAGGCCTAACAGCTGATCGAGTTTGAGTGGTGTGGAAGAGTCGTTTCGATGTAGTTTTGTCGCTGTTGTTAACAGCTCGAGCGGTGCAAGCTTGCGCGCCGTGACGCAATGTGTGGGCTTTTGGAAAGAGAGATTGATGTAATTGACGCCATTGTAACGGCAAAATCAATGGTCTAGCCATTGAAAAGAGTGTGGAGGGGAAATGGTGGAGGTGGGTGAGAGGAGAGGATTTCTCTAGTTCAAGTTTTGGAGGTCGGGAACTTCGCCGCGAAGCTACTCCGACATTTAGACCTACCAATTTGAATATACGCCAAAGTAGTATTTGAAGACATTTACTGCTTTTAAAAGTAATAAAATAGCATCGATATGCTAAATGCATCAATTAACCAAACGAGCCTTCTGTACCAGATGGTCCCCAGAACACAATGCGTATAATGTACATTTTGCCTTGATCTGCCAGGCCAAACACAATAAATGCTCAACAAGATCTCTCAAAAGCAAGAATCCAAAGGGGAAAAAATAAAGGATGAAAAGATCATAACAACAAGATCTTCTCCAACTCTCTTCCAATCTATCCTCCTCCCCGTGCCTAAATAATAAACAGCTTTTACTCCATAGTCACCTTGGCACCGAGCACCTTGAACGTCTCGATGAGCTTCTCCGCCTCCTCCTTGGGCACGGACTCCTTCAGAACCTTGGGCGCAGACTCAACGAACTTCTTGCTGTCCACCAGCGACAGGCCGAGCATGGTCTTGATCTCCTTGATGACCTTAGGCTTGGAGGTGGGCTCAAAGGATTCGAGCTTCAGGTTGAACAGCGTCTTCTCGGCCGCGGCGGGAGCAGCCTCCTCCTCCTCAGCGGCAGCAGCAGCACCGGGGGCACCACCACCGGCGGCCATGGCGAAACCGCCAACGGGAAGGTCGGGAATGTTCAGGCGGGTCTATGCAAACATTTTAATTAGCAATGGTTAGGATAAACACCTCAATTGAGGAGAGTTAAGATGGTAGATATAGATATATGCAAGCTAGCATTTCCTATTTGGAAATCCATCATGTGTAGATTGTCAAACCCACCTTCAAGCTAGACACCAGGTCGGCAGTTTCGAGCAGCGTCAATGTGCTGATCTGGTCGACAATCTGGGAGATCTTGGAGTTGGTAGCAGCAGCAGGGGCTGCCTGGGTGGACTCGCATCGCCGGCTGCTGGGTGTGCGACGGGCTGTGAGGTATGTAGCGGAGGTCGCGATGCGCAGGGAGGACGGGCGGACGGAGCCGGAGAGCTGTCTGGCGCAGCGGGCTGCGGCCTGGGTGGAGAAGGACATGGCGGAGGTGAGAAAGAGGCGGTAAGCTCCAGAGAATGGGAAATTAGAGAAGTGTGGTGGGGATTGGAATCGCGGCTCGTTGATATCAAGACCGAAAGGAAACACTCGAGGAAAATCTAGGAGTGCCACGTGATACACATTATGCCTCAGGCATCTTTATCTATCTAGTTATCAGGTAAACACGGCGGAAGCAAAACATAGTGCAATCAACTACATCTTCTGATGTGTTTATATCAATTCTTTCCTTGTAAGGTATATACGAAAAGACCAAAGAAAAAGAATGCTGGAACAGAAAGGCAGTCCAATTTACAATAGTTCTCAAAAAGCATATCATCGTACGAAGATCTATCAGGCCTCATATTATCAAACAGCATCCAGACCCTCATCGCTCCTTTTTTAAAGAAAAATTTAGTCCTGGTCCCAGTCACCTCCACCCTGCGGAGGCTTGGGGCCTCCCGCCTGTCTCGAGACAATGATCTGGTCGACACTCAGCACCGTCCGGGCAGACTCACTGGCCAGACGGATCGCAGACATCTTCGTAGCCATAAGATCTAGAATACCCTCCTCAACAGTGTCCAGGGTGCCGTCAGAGTCGCCAATCTCAAGGTCCACACCCGTAGTCCAGTATGGTTCCTCTTCTTCAGACGAGCTGCCCTCTTCCTCGTCATCCTCCTCGGAAGATGACTCGCCAGCAGTAGCGGTGCGGTGGTGTGCGGTGTAAAGACGCGAAAGAACCTCGGTGGCATCGAGACCGGCAGACTCGGCGAGTGTGCGGGGGACGACCTCGAAGGCCTCGGCGAACTTGCGGATGGCATACTGGGGCAGACCGGGGGTTCGGTCGGCGAAGTTGGAGATACGCTCAACGAGCTGGATCTCCGTGGCACCGGCACCGGGCACGAGACGGGGATCCTTGGTAATGGCCTTGACGACGTTGACGCCATCGTCGATGGCACGCTCGACGTCCTCCAGGTGGTTCTGTGTAGCACCGCGCAGAACAATGGTTGCTGTGCGGGTGATGGCGTTGGCATCCTCCTGGCGGAAGACGGTCACTCGGTCACCGCCAATCTCGGTCGTCTCGACAACGTCGATCTGGCCCATCTCATCGGGCATAGGAGCACCCAGGCGAGCTAGAGGTGTGGCACCGACAACGCGGCACAAGCGGCGGAGCTCGAACTTGGACAGGATCTTAATGACCAGGATATTGAAACGGTTGAGGTAGTGCATGGCCAAATCACCCACAGTGGAGCCGGCAACGACCACACGGAGGCCGGAGTCGTAGAGCTCTTTAATGGCAGTCTCCAATCGGTCCTCCTCACCCGCGGTGAAGTCCATCATCTCCTGAGCATTCTTCAGGAGAACTGTGCCCTTGGTCTCGGTCTGGCTGATATCGATAGGGCAGCTGAAAACGCCGACCTTGGCCCTGCTGGCCTTCTTGATAATTCCATCGGGCTCCCGGGGGAAGACCATACCCTTCACCACTTTCGACTGTTCCAAGCTACCACCCATGATCTTAACGACTCGCACGTTATCGACGTTGAAGTTAAGAGGGTTCTTGGGCAACACAGCCAGAACCGCCTCCGCAACCAACGCAGCCAGGGTATCCTCTGTGCCAGACTGCTTAGAGGCCACTACTGTGCGGAGAGCCTTGCTCAACTCTGTTGCCGATCGCATATCCTGGAGTCTGTCGACCTCGAGCTCTAGACGAAGTCAGAAACATTCCCTCGTTTGTACATCGACAGACTAATCATTTGGGGGGTTGGAGAAACATACCCTCTAGGACCGACAAGGCAAAGTTCTGAGCCTTTTCGTATCCGGAAACAATATCACTCGTCTTGAGACCCATGCGGATCAACTCCTCTGCTTTCTTCAACAATTCACCGGCCAACACAATAACCAAGTTGGTACCATCTCCCATCTCCGCATCCTGCTGCTGACTCGCCATAACAAGCAGCTTAGCAGCAGGGTGAACAACATCCAACTCACGAAGAATTGTAGCCGCGTCGGAGGTCAAAATCATCTTTTGCAGGTGGTTGATGACGATCTTGTTGCGGCCATAGGGGCCCAGGGAGGTCTGAACGGTGCCTGAGATAGCCTGGCAGGCTTCGATATTACGGATAACAGCTCCATCTTCAGCATCGTGACTATACAGCAGGTAACACAGATCAGTCAATTGACTTGTCTCTTTTTGAGGGGGCCAGATAAGGAGGTCCCTATTGCGGTGGGTTTTCGGGCTTCCCGACTTTTCGAACTCACCTCTGGTATCCGGGCTTGAAGAGCCCCGCCTGGGAGGGACCTGGAATTGATAGTGACATGATATTTGGTCGCGTCCGAGAGAGATACGACTGGATATCAAAAAGGTTGAATGTGAGGGAATGGATGGAGCTGTTGTGCCGGGCAATTTTTGGAGCTGCGGTGGTGGGTTTGCTCGGTTTGCACGAGGGGGAGAGCCCACCAGTTGCCCAAGTGCTTGGCGTAGGCTACATAGATCAGCGATATTACAAGCTCTAATCCTTCATGTGTATATGTGTTTTTGTTTTCATGTTTCCTGAGTTCGGTAATGGGGGATCCTTTTCCTTTTTATTAATACATTGGCTAATGCTATTATACAGTTTTCATCAATGCACTATTGACTTGGATGTTCTGTTGCTCATCTCAAATATGAGACGTGCGAATTATAAGCAGATCGGAAACCAGGCACTAAAGAAGTTAGCAACTTAGCATGTGTGAAAAAGAAAGGAACTCTTACTGTATCCTTTGATAGAGCTACACCCATTCTCCTCGTAGATTGCTTCGGCCTTGTCGAGCCTATTTGGTCGAATTAGTAACAAAATCAGTCAACGCAGGGGAAAAGGCATACCATCCTTGGATGGCTTCCATTCGGTTGTAGCTCTACTATAAGTTAGTTCCCGCCCTTATATAAGTATAAGTCTTCTTCAAGCTTACCGATGGGTGAGTGGACATGAACTGCAGGGGAGCCTGTTTCTCCTGTTCGTACATGCGAGCCCATCTAGCAACTGTCAGCAAAGCCCGAGACGCTGACACATTCTGTCGTATTGACTTACAGTTTGACGGCAGCCTCAGGATTGAAACAAGCTTTGGACATCATCACTGGTAACAGTTGTTAATGACATAATCGCAAGTTGATCCGCAACTTCAAGAGTTCATACTTAATCCGATCTTGTCTGCTTCAGCCTATAGATCAACATTAGCCACGTGACCCTCTAGGAAAACCCAAAAAGGAATCTGTCCTACCTCTTGCGTGCGGGAATTCGGCAAGCTGTACATGAGATTCAAAAGGAAAGAAGAGAATTGCCCGGAGACATCGAACAAGAAAGAGATAACGAACACAGCTCCCAGCGTAATGAAACTGTTGCTCATACGCTCTGCGGGATGATGAGCCACAACATGAGCAATCTCATGTCCCAGTACAGCAGCCAAGCCATCCTCATCTTTGCAGATGGGCAAGATGCCTGTGTAGACGAATACCTTTCCACTAAGCGAAGGAAGCAAAGCTAATCTTAGTCAAGTCCATAACCATAGAACATAGAAAGAATCGACACCATAAACCTACCCAGGAAGCACAAAAGCATTGACCATTCCATCATCCTTGATAACATGGACCTTCCAATCAGCGCCCTCAATAGGTGCCTGCGGGACCAACCGCTGCAGCACCCCATCAACCATACGGGTAAGAGGATGATTATAGGGCAGAACCTTCCCACGCTCGGAGCTGAGAACCTCACGGTAACTCTCTTCGCCCATATTTAGCTCCTGGTGACGAGAGATACAGTTGAACCGTCGCCGACCGGTCATCTCCACTATCTCCGTATTGTATAGATAAAGTCCGGATATTCCCACGCCA